TAACTTCTGACGCGCCCCGTCCGCAACCAACTCCGGTCTCGCCGAACGTCAAACCGGTCGGAATGCACCGCGCCGAGCGCCCCCTAGTGTTAATTCTTAAAATTAGCATTTGGCGCGAACAGTATTTAAGAGGTTATTTTGATTCAGAAGTAGATTAAGATGCTGTTGGACAAGACGCTCAAGAATTTTAGAAGGAAATGGTAATATGGAAATAGGATGATAATCACAGAAGGACTTGGGATTTGATTTCTTGGGTAGTGGAATAATTTGAGCATCTTTCCATAGTGTAGGAAAAGTTCCTGTAATTATAGAATTGTTGAAAATTTTAGTTATGACAGGAGTTAAGAGATCTAAAAGCGAGAGAATCATGTTTGTAGTAAAAGTATGTATTATTGTAAATTGCTTTAATATCAAAAACTAAGATTATGAAGTTTGATTAATTATATGAAATTGTATATAAGTAATTATTAGGAGTATACTACACACTACTGAACTTACTTCTTCCTCTGGCATAGAGTCAGGGCAGTCGCTGCCAAATGTGTGCTCAACACCTATTAGTGACACAATTTTTTTCCACCTCAGTCAGCGGAGCAGTGGTGATGCCTCGGTTGCCGGTCAGCATTCTTTTTCTTTTTTAATTTTGCAGCTTTAGTTCAGTCCTCTCATTTGGAGTCTCTCCATACCTACAAAATAAATAATGATGTATTTTAAGTAAATATTAGTTACATAATGTGCTGGCTGATTTTTGTATAAGCCATTAGTAGTAAATCTGGAAAATTCTTTGATAAAAACTTAACTGTTGTCTACTACTCAGGTGTCTTGACGGATCCGTTGGGAAGCTGGTTGAGCTCGTCGGCAACTTCCCTCTAGCCCGTTTCAATGTTTTCTTTGCCCTGCAGGCCAATACATTTTCTTGTATATAAATATGGACGAACTTCTAGCTTGGACAGTAGTGCCTCAAGCTGCCCACTCGTAACACGTGATGTACGCTTACGTCTGAAACATACATAGAAGTAAATATTCAAAATATAAAAATTACATAGTCTCTAAGCAAACCATTCAATAAACAATGATAGATTCGAAAATAGATGTAGGCATAGAATTATTAGGCTCGAAACCCGGCCTACGCCTGCGTCAGTGCCCCCCACTATAGAAAATATCATAATATTATCACGAGTTTTATCAAACTTTTACGTTGTCAAATCGAAACTGACAGTTTTGACATTAACATCATAGTGTTGCTAGGAGGCAAACTTTTATGTCCTTTGATATTTAACAAGTTAGTTCAATTCTTAGAAACGGTAAAAGCTAAGTTAAATTACTATGAAAAATATTTTTATAAGATAAGGTTTCTACTGTTTATGTACCATTTTCAAAGAAAAGCAATATTTGTTTTTTACGTTTATTTTTATAAAATTATGTCTACCAATTTTCCCTGTGATTCAAGATTTTTTTTAAGGAAACACCGCACTATGAATACGCTTTTTTTAGCGTAACTACATCATAAAATAAAGATATGTAATAATTTTGTTCTGTATCTCGGCTGTAAAGACTTGCATTTATCGTAAGCATTGTTACGGCAAACAATTTTTTACGTTATTATTTAGCAATCGGTAGTTAGCAATGGCGTCGCTATCTATGTCGAGACTGCAGGCCCAGGTTATTTCTGCGTTGTTAAGTTAAACTCCAACTCTAAGTAATCCTTGGTCGTCTATAAATGGGTTCAAACTTGCCAATTTGCTTTTTCTATGCACATGCCCCTTACCTTTGATATGATTAAAATCGTCGCTAAATTCATATGATTGCATGGTTTTGATAATGATATTTAAAGCTTTATTTAAGTTAGTGTTAGTATTAATGACCTGCTTATCATTTAGTTATTTAATGCATCGCGCCAGACTCGAATTCGCGCGATGAAACGTAATACCCATGCTGTTTTTCTTACAATATGGGTCAGAGAGCTGCAATTGCTATGTAAATTATATTGGTTATCAGCCTTACCCAAGTGCCGCGGTATATTAAAGTAAGTAATATGTAAATGTGTAAGTGTTTAAAATCATTACGCATCCAAAGCCATTCCTGTGTGATTTTAGCGGGCAGTGTTTCGTCCCATATTACATTCAGAGACCATACTTTTTGGAATAAATGTTTTGCTATCAAATAGTTAGAGGCGATGTCCAGCCTATAGGATTGAATAATTTTGATATAATAATAATAATAATAATAAATAATTTATTGCTTTAAAAGAAGTAGTAAGTTGTTATATTTGATAAAAGCAGTCTTTTTGAGTTGATATTATTATTGGCTTGATATGCCAGTTTGTTTTGAAAGGAAAAGTTTTCAAATGATGGATTCCACTATAAGCCTAGTGGTTTACGTGATTCCGAATCTTTAAACTCTAGTGGTGTATTGAGTTTGTGGGATGGTTAACATTTTATAAGTTCGGATTCATTGTGAAATCATTTTGGTATATTTATTCCAGCTCTTTGCAATACTTCAATTAATTGGTGTATAAGTTGTTTTAATAACTCTAATGGCAGCCCGTACACACTCAATCTCGGTGCAATCACACAGTTCTGATCGCGATCACGGATCACGGGATCGCCGCACAACATTTCACGTTCAATCTTGATTTCTTCAGTCCGCGTATCGTAACCGCAGCGTTAACAACGCCTGTTGTCTTGTCATATTAAAAAGTACTCTGTGTGTCCTTACTTTGAAGAAAAGGATTCGGAAAAGGCAGTAGGTTAAAAAGTGGCTACTTAAGAGAGAAATGTACGCTCACTTAAATCTACTAAAAAAAATTCAACTAACTGCTGAAAGATTATAAAAACTACTTCAGGATGGGGGGAAAATGTTTCGATGCGTACAAATGATAACTCCATATATAACCAAACAAGATACGTGTATGAGAAAAAGTATAACACCTGTAGGGTTTAACTACACTTTATTATTTAAAATGATAATTTAATATGATATTAATAACGATAAATAAAATGATAACGACTGCTTGATATGAGTGCTTGAATTGCACTTTTATTATTTAAAATGATAATTTAATATGATATTGATAATGATAGATAAAATAATACGACTGCTTGATATGAATGCTTGAAGTGCACTGCTCGCCGAGTACAGGGAGTTAAAGTGCTGTGTTATTAAGAGTGCTAATTTAACAAATTAAATTCATTTAGGTCATTGTGAAATATGTACGTTTCACCGTACATCGCCTGAAGAAAAACTTGCAGTAACATTACGTTATTTTGCTACTGGCAGAAATATTGAAGATCTAAAATTTAGCTATAATGTCTCCTGCTGCTATTAGTGAAGCCATCAAGGTTACATGCCGAGCTCTTATTTATGCGCTCAAGGACTATATGAAAGAAAATAAACGTTTTTTATTTATTTTAAGTAAGTTTATTTAGCATAAGTACGAATTCAAGACATTGAAATACAAAGTACAAAACAGCGAATTACATAAAATACAATAATAACTAGAAAATAAAATTAATTATTTTTGAAATTTTTTAATCATTCGGATTATACAAACAATGACCCTACTGTATAATCTTCAGTATCTCATTGAGTATCCGGAATGTGTAAATTAGGGACATCCAAGTTTTGTGTATTATTATTTGTAATACAAAACCTTTTCGGTAAGTTTACTAGAGAGAGTGAGGAATTTATACCAAGTTTTGACTGAGAGGACATTGGTTGTGACACAATGGTCGGAGAATGTGTTGGAGTAGAAGTAGTCGACGACGAATGATGTGTGCCTGAAAGAGCAGCTTCAGCAAATAATTGTGAAGGTTTAAGTGTGAATGTGTGTGGAACATCTACTGCCGAGGACTGCAGTGAAGAGGGTGTAGGTGAAATAACTGAAGAGTAGTGCAAGTATGAGGGAGTAGGTGGGTTTTCCAACGAAGAGTAGTGTGGTATTGGAGAGTTACTAGAGTTTTGTAAATACAAAGGAGAGGCGTTGTATGAATGTGATGACATCGCATTCCTATTAGTAGGTTCGTTAATTTTCACAGAAAATCGGTGAAGGTTTCCCAACCCGGCCTCAAGTAAAATATTATGAATCGCTTGCTCTGCAAAGAATGGTTGCTGAGGTTTTTAATTTAGCCAGCTTTTCTGCCCATACCAATGCTAGTGATTTAGTCGTGGTAGTTGATTGCAGAGACGTTTTCTGTGACAAAATAAGTTTGCTCGATTCTTCAAAGTGTTGAGATAGATTATTCAAATCCACGTCAAACTCTATAGCGTCGTAGTTATTGTGCTTTAAACCACACTTTCCGTCATCATTAAGTTTGTCCAAGCTAAAGTTTTGATAAATTGCAATGAGTATATCAAACGTATCCTCGTCTGAAGGTTCGATTAATTTAATCGTCAAATCCAGGCGATTTAACGCTTCTTGACACGTTATAAATTCGTCTCCTATAATGCCTATTGTCTTAGTTCGAGACCGAAAAACCGGATAATCTTGCAATAAATCTAATACAGCGGTGACAGATTCGTCCGGTATGTCATCATGAAAGTCACACCGAAGCTGATAATTTATGCGAGCATACTCTCTAAAGCCGGGTCCAGACATGTATCATTTGCACGATCCTATCACCGTATCCGATCACCGCACCCTATCTGCATATTGTATCAAGCCCCGTATCAAGTTGTGGACGCCTCCGATTTGCTCCGTATTCGTATCTTCACAATAGTCACGATCGCGTATCAAATTGCCCAGTTCAGTTTCTGCTCTCGATCAAACATGTCGTCGCAGTTGATTGAAGTGTACGAGAATTTAGAAATTTCAGGTTCCTGTTTTATTTTCATTCACAATATTCTAATCTCAAAACCAAAACAGAGACGGTGGTGGCAAACGGAATTATTTAGAAACAGAAACACACTTGGAGGAAGAGCTTTGATGAGAGACCTAAGATTTCAACACATAAGTAACTTCACGCGTATCGCACCTAATGACTTCGAATATTTGATAAATTTGATTGGCCACAAAATTAAAAAACGGATACTACAGGAAAGCAATTTCTGTTGAAGAAAGATTAAGTATCACTTGGAGATTTTTAGCCAGCGGAGATTCCTATACAATCCTACAATATTTATTCAGAGTTTCTAAACAATCGATAAGTGTTATAGTTCCAGAAACCTGTCAAGCTATCGTAGAGGCATTAAAAGACTACATCAAGGTAGGATATTTTTTATTATAGAAACAATAATTGATCCATGACATCAATTATTAGTAATAAACAATCCATGACAACAATTATTAGTATAAACAATAAACAATCATTGTTTATTACTAATAATTGATGTCATGTATCAAATCACGAAAAGAATCTTTGGAATCCATCGAAGAATCCTCCACTTGAGTCACTGGAGAATGTACTTGATTTTCAGTCATGTACGGGGCTAAACTTTGTGCTCTGTTTGAATAAGAAGAATTTACAGACATTTGAGTAGGTGTAGTCTCAGCCATGGAATATGTAGATGCCGGAGTGGAGTACCCGCGCTGATATTCATATTGTCCATAATCAGCGTTATATAGGATGTTGTTTATTTGATGTTCCACAGTCATGTAGGTTTGCTTGGAATAACCCCTAAATTTGCCTGCCAAATAATTAGCGTATAGCTGATACTAGTCTTATCCAGTAGCGGATGCAGTTCAAGCAGTAGCTACCGTTTTAGCAGCCGAAGCTGATGATTTCAGCAAATCAAATGCCGATTGCAACATTGGGTCTGGTTCGCGACGTATTTTCTCTGTGGAGAAAGTGTGAGTGGAAGTGGAGATATGAATTCCGTTTTTGATGAATTCTTTGCATTATCGGTTGTTTGGTCCGATTCAGTGCTCGCGGTGGAACGGGGATGTTTATCTTGTGACTGATCATGATCTTCACCTATGTGGTCATTTTCCTCATTTTCAGATGTAGCGAAGCGCGGTCTTGGCCTTCCTGCAAACAAAATAAAATAATTACAATATATTTGTTACAGATACCTACATCGCATCAAGAATGGGAGGAAATTAGTTCCGAGTTTCAAAACTGTTGGGATCTACCACACGTGGTTGGTGCAATGGACGGGAAACACATTATGTTGCAGGCACCTTTCAATAGCGGATCGGAGTTTTATAATTATAAACAATTTTTTAGTATTGTTATATTCGCTTTAATTGATGCTTTATATAAATTTATATTTGTCGATGTAGGGTGTCAAGGGAGAATTTCCGGTGGAGGTGTATTTAATGATTCCATTCTCAAGGAAAAAATTTCAAACAACTCATTAAATCTTCCATCTCCGAAACTTTTAGAAGGAACGAATAACATACCATACTATTTTGTGGCAGACAGTGCATTTCCGTTAGGTATCCATATTATGAAGCCATATCCAGGTGTACATCCTAAACGATAATAAAAAAAAAATTTAATTATCGATTATCAAGAGCTCGACGAGTGGTTGAAAATGCTTTTGGCATTTCAGCTAGTGTTTTTAGAGGACTACGAAAGCCAATGCTACTCCAACCTGAAACGGCACAACTGATTGTGATGACAATATGTCATCTTTACAACTTTTTAATAAAAAGTACAAATTCTGCTAAAATTTATGCACCACCAGGTAGTATTGATAGTGAAGTAGAAGGGTCAGTAACAACGGGAAGATGGCGTCTCGAAAATAACGATATAACTTCATTATTCACGAATAGTCCACGCAGACCTTCTTTGTCGGCCCAGATAATAAGGGATAAAATTGCTGAATATTGCTGTACAGTCGGAAAATTATCATGGCAAGATCATATGAATTAGACTTAAAGGCCGTAGCATATGCCGCCGTGCTAACCACATGCTGTCTCCTAATAAAAAAATGTATTTTTTTATTTTTTAAATAAAAAAAAACACAAATAATTAAAGTTAAACATAATAATGTGGTTGTGCTGAAGATACTCACAGTATTAATTCTCGGGCGAGGTTTGCTTTTGTCCATCAGAAATTGCAAATATTTGAAAGCGAACTGGTATACTTCATCAGCTCCTATAATTTAAAATTATGCAATGATTACTACTACGATATAGAAATAAGTATAACTATTCTAATCCCATCACATTCAGAGTAAAGTTTTTAATTTCTGGCTTTTTCTGGTATTAGTGTGTAGTTAAATTAAAAATAATAATAATAATTTATTTTAGTTGAGATGCTACATTGCAGACGTCTGTAGTCTCATCCCATAGCCCAGTAACCTGTCCCTCCATCACACTCCCATAGCCCAGATTAGCTACCCATATTTTGCAAGAGTCCTGGGCACGTGATGGGGTCTCTCTCTGAATGCATTTCATATAAGTGTGTTGAGAGAGAGGTCCCATCCGTGCCTCACATCACAAACATTATTGTTCTCGAAGCGGCCTCTACGTGTTGGACCTGTGTCCCCACGCAAGCCTTAAAGGACCGGGCTTCGGCCCGTGAAATCCTAATGAGATACAAATAATAATTTTTATAATGTGTTTATGTTTTGTAATTTCATTTTATATGTCTTTTACTTTTATATCCATATTGTAAAAAGCCTAATCTAAGATTAAAGATAAATAAAGAGGAATAATAATAAAATAATAATTATAAAAGAGTTTTGATGAACGGGTACGAGCAGAGTGCGTGGAAAATAATGCCACTCTGTTCGCCGCACGGGGGGGGGGGGGGGACTTGTGCGAACTTCACAAACCGGCATAGATTTTGCACGCACTAGAAGTATCTACTTACCTTTTCCTGTTGTGCTGGTTTTAGTGATTTTTGCTTTTTCACGGCGATGGGCTGCCATCAAATAATCCATCTTTTTCTTCAATTCGCCAACTGGACACTCCATTTCGACGGAGAGTTCATCCCAGGCCTCCTGCTTCAGATTCCTGTTGTAATAGCTTTTGTGGCTGGGGTACCATAGTACTTGCTTTTCTTTATAGGCCTCGATAAATTTAATAACATTTTTACTTCACGGCAAGGACTGAAAATGACGCCCACGTGCAACCGACCGAGCGTCGCGAGTGACGCGTCCAGACTGACCCACGTCCGTATCTGTATCACCTTTGATGATCGGACAAAAACCGACACGACATAGGACGGGTCGTATCATAACGGCGTATCGAGATCGCGTATCATGATACGCGTATCATTACCCGTCCACATATGCGATCATGATACGCGTCGACGATACGGATACGGTGATCGGATCGGGCAAATGATATATGTCTGGACCCGGCTTAACAGGATGAATTAGATTCTGACCATACTTGGGTGGTTGCACCACTTTGCAGACTTTTAGATCAATGTTATAACCTCCACGAATCGACAAATCCAGCGGTGAAAAATGCTCATTTTGAAAAGAAATATGCATAATAACATCATCTGATTCATTTCCCCGCAATAAAAAAAAAACATTTTTCTTCTTCTTTTTCTACATGATGTAAGCAGATATTAACGCCTTGTTCTCTACAAAATAATCTGATTATATCATCGTCCCCCCCACTTGTTTTCAGACATCAATATCTGAGTAAGAGCAGACGGGTCCAGACAAGAAGCCAAAAATTTTGATTTAAGTAATCTCCGTTTTAATTCCGCAACTGACTCACCAGTTAATTTAGTTAGAGTAAAGAAGAGACAATTTCCATCACCTGGTACTGCTATGGTTGTATTAATGTTCTTGAATGGGCATTCTACTGGATTATAATGATTTTTTTCTTTATTGCATTTATTAACAACATCACCGGAAGGAATAACGTCAGGTTACATTAATAACTTTCTTGCCGTCTCTAAAGTTTTTGACGCTATAGTATCTGCAACTAACTGCGTATCATCATCATAAATTACTGGTTCTAATCCTTGCTTTAAGATCAGTAGGATTAAAATATGTTTGAGCATAATCATACGCTACATCTGAAACTACTTTTCGAACTTCCAATATTTTCGTAGCATTCGAAATCTCTAACGAAAAGTATTGAGGAGCAGCGGCCCATATGGACAACTTTTGCCAAATGGTTAATTGCTCTTCATCAGGAACAGAATATAATTCTATATTATGAGTTTTAATATGGTCATTCTGAGTTGGAAATCCGTCAGAAATCGTGGGGACTGAAATATATAATGTTCCAAATGATTTTTTTTTAAATTCTTATAAATAAATGTCTAGCCCGTCTATTTTTCTTAATAAAATCAGTTATATAAGCAACCGCGGTACTACTATTATCAGCGTCAGCTAGTCTGTATAGATCCACTGCGTCAAACTCACTCTCAATCATGCTTGCATCCGTACCATTCACAATGACTCTAGTGGCGATAGATCGTAAATACTCGAAAATGGCATTATTCGAGAATTTTGCTTGGGTTTGAGATATGGCATATTTCATACCAGCCTGGTATAACGCATTCGGAACAATCATACGTCTTTTAGTAAAATTAACTTTAAACTCATTATCACCATCCGGAACTACAGGTTCATAAGAATAATACTGCACCACTACTTTGTTAATTAATTTTTCAGAAAGTGGAACAACCACAGACAACTCTGATTTCGCAGAATCAAAAACAGTTTTCACAAGCTTAAGCACTAAATAGGGCCCTCGAGTTTCAATAATTTCACCGAGATAGAGTATTCCGCGGTCACTAACATACCTAGGATCTAATACAGTTTGTATGTAGTTTTTGTAATTGTGAGTATACGCCAGCGAATAGTCCTTTTCAAAATAAAATTCTGTATCCGTAACGTAGCGGTTATCTTCACGAATGGCATCGCGAGACAAAGCATTACCATATTTCTTCTTCCAAATCATATTGACGTCAGGCAAGCTTCCGCAGTCGTAATCAGGCAACAAAATACTTAAATCAAATAAAAATATAGCAAACGCAATGACCGCAGCCGCAAAATCCAGCGCGTTCGCTACTTGATTATTCGTCATCTCGTATATGCCATCTATAAAAAGTAAATACGGGGCAGTAATAGGGCACTGCTCAGCGACCTGACGGCAATATAACTGATGACTCCTATTCAATAACTCCTCGCGTACGTTAGGGAACCTATTAGCCAATGTTCTCACAGCGGCCAGTTCATTAGACCTACGCATATTATCTCTTGCGTCCAATATAGCGTATAGCGTATAGCGGATATAGGTATAAGCGTGTATAGTGAACCATTGTCTACTTAGGTTCATATGCAAATTTCCACCTATATTCTTAATCCAAACCTCGTAACCGGTAGGTGGCTTTTGTTTATTATTATAAGACTATCTCAAAAGAATCAATTCGGTGTTACACAATCTCATATTTGCAGCCATAGAAAGTCCGCGCAGGGAACCGGCTTTTCAAAAATCTAGAGCTAACTCAGGATACAATTCAGCCAACCTACTGTGCTCCAATGGAGAAACGGTAGAATGTATATAAACTTTCACTCTTTCCTTTATCAATTGTTCGCACATGACGTCGGACAGGGCCTTCATCAAGTTGCCAACTTCTTCAGACTTCGGATCCTTCAATCGATTTAATAAGATCAACTTCACGGCGTCATCGGTATTAACTCCAGCTAGTGATAACATCTTCCTTGATAATTCGTTGTTTAGTTGCGAGTGTGTCCCTCCGACGATGAACCGCTGTTGCATAAATTTTCTTGAAGCCTGAATAACTAGAAACAGAGGACGGTAGACTCTTTCAAAATTATTTACGTGAACCAAACCATAATGTTGGGTGTGTCTGAAAATTCTAATTTACAGGTTCGGAGAGCGACATTCGCGCAAAATGACTGCGGAAACATCTTGCAGCAGCGGATATGGGCCAAGACTTAATTGATGCTGATAAATCTTCCATTCAGGTAATTTGAGATCCACAAACCAATTCAGGTAACAGTAGCCGTTGGCACCGATACGAAGACTCGAAGTAACATATTTCAGGAATATCTCAGCGAGCGTTGCCCTCTCGTAATCCTCTTCAATATGTAACGGATTGAGTCCAATTAAACGGGGTACCTGAATTGTATATTTCTCGTCGTAGTCGATATACAGTTGAAACAAAACATCTGAGACAAAAGGGTTACTCCCAAATTTCTTCTTCATATTTCTTCTTCGGGAAACCGGAAACCAATACAGGTAACAATACATTTTATACACAAATATTCAATTTAATATGGTTGATGGTAGATGGTGGATGGTAGTTGGTGTGTCGGTACAACTAAACAATTGATGGTTACACAATAAATGTTAAATCGATATATTTGATATAACAGCTCGTTTAGATGGATGAACAATTTCTGTGATTGAAGATAATTTTCCCGGTGATGGATTTACTGTTACAGTTTCTTGACTACTTTCGTGGCTCCCAGCAATTACTCCAGAATTTTCATTATGAAATATAATTAAATTGCATTGTTTACGCAACTACTTTTTT